AAAATTCATACAACACCGATATAATTGGATACTAACTGGACAATAAGTCAGGCGGTTTTGTAATGTAGTCCTTATTTGGCGTTTCGGGTTAATGACATCAATGCGAAGAATCATGATGCGAATGCCCAATAGTGGGGATTCCTCTCCAATGTATTTTGATTGAAAGTTAGTGGCATTGACGATGTTTGCTGATGAGGGTAGCTGTCGCGTTACGTTGAGGTGTGGCCATGATGACTGGGAATATATGTATCCCACCTTAAAAAATTTTACATATCTACGAAGTCCTGCATCAAATAAATGTCAGCAATTCAATGATTGGCATGATAAGAAAATTTCATTAACTGTCAAATTCTAACTTAATGCGATAGACATTTCCAAAGCAAAATACATGAAAGTAATGATCGAGTAAATTGTAGGCTCAATGAAGCAAGCTTCATACACTTTCAAAGGAATCATCTTAGACGCTTTTATGCGACTATACAATTCTAACTTATCGTGCATTTCAAATCAAAATACCATGAAAGTAATATCGATTTTGATGTCCGTAGGATGCTTCCGAAATTATGCAAAACCCACAGAACAATGAAGAATCTGACAGGACCACCAAGCCAATAGAGAACAAACTTAGAATTTTTTATGTAGCTAACTAGCGTCACCAATTCCCAACACAACAAGTAAGAATAATCACCTAGTAACTTTGTACGTCTTGCAAAAAGAGGGAGGATTTTCACATCAATCATCAACTCTAAGGAAAATTCTATTCATAAATGCAAGTAATAACTATAGTTCTAATTTTAAAACATAATGTCCAGAGAGGAACCATAGTTATGTAAGTCATGGTTGATATCTCATGAATGTACATATCTTATGAGCAATTGAGCATCAAGTAAAGGTTATCTTCACTTTTTCCAATAGCTTTTTGGCATCAGCGTTATTTTTGAAGCGATCACGGACAGGCTGCAAGTTGTAGGTTCATGAGATTTTAGAATGACAGAACAATAAATTAGAATTTGAGTAACCAACAATCATCAAAATCAAATATTGATAAGAGAGAACACTAAGCGTAAATTCAACAAACAGGTGGTGGGCAAAGAGTTGAACTAACCTGACTTGCAATGGAGAACAACATAACCCACCTCCTTCTGCCGAACCCACTTCCTTTGAGCGCCAAGGATCCTCACCATCGTCGTCGGCTTATGCGAAAGCAGCTCCTTACAAAGCCAAGCGGTCTTCGCCCTCCGCCATTACTCCGAGTGCTCCTCAAGCTCCGTCCACTGGCGGCAATGACAAGTGCTTCAGGTTGATGGGCGAACTACAGGGAGTCAATGTCGAAATCATTGGTGCGCTATTCATCTACTTCAAGGTCGACGGTGGTGGGTGACGTGGCAGCGAGGGGAGATAGGGGCAGTGGATGCAGAGGTTGATGGGCTTGAGGGAGGAGGGGAAGTGAAGGAAGGGAAGAGGAGGAGGTTGGTGGTAGTGGTTGAGGGGAAGTGAAGGGAGGGAAGAGGAGGAGGAGGGGAGGAGGAGGTTGGTGGTAGTGGTTGAGGGGAAGTGAAGGGAGGGAAGAGGAGGAGGAGGGGAGAGGGAGATATCTCTTCTGAGCTCAGATGGAGGAGGAGGGGAGAGGGAGAGATCAGTTGGGGATGAAGGGTAGTTTAGGATTTTTCAATTTTTTTGGATAAATACAGTACAAATAATGGGTGTATTGTACATTTGGGTTTAAAAATAAGTGGGATGTGATATAGTGGGTCTATTGATGTTTTGAAAAGTGAATGTGTTTTTAAATAAGTTGGGGTAAAACTTTGGGTTAAAAGCGGATTTTCCCAATATAGTAATATCAAGACCATCTGTGTGGATACACGGAGTCCACAACCATCCGTAATACCAAAAACACAACCATCCGTAATACCAAAAATGCAAATTATTCAAAACCATCCCCATCTTAATATCTCTTACGCTTTCCTCTTTCTGCAATACCGTGCAAAATCCTCATCAAAACTAGAACACGTTTTCTATTCACATTTGACGACCTCTCTTTGTTTTTGAAACCCGGCTCCGTATCCACAAAAGGAAAGGACGAGACAGAGGTGGTAGCAGGTTTACAAAACCATACGCCGCGGAAAACATTAAATAGTTTATGTAGTTATTGTGTATAGATGCAAACAATTCTGCTTAAGCCACATCTGTTCTGCTGCCTGGTGTTCCCATGGATTAAATACTCTAAAATCAGGGTATGATATCACAGATTTTTCTTAATGAAACAAACTAGGATTTCATCTTCTCTTTCCTTGTTTTCACTTTAAAACATTGACAGAACTAGTGCCTCATGATCATATATTAGAACTTGAATGATGGAGGCAACATAAGCATTAATGGAAACCCCAGAAGTCTCGGTACTATTTGAAAAAACATTAAATAGTTTATGTAGTTATTGTGTATAGATGCAAACAATTCTGCTTAAGCCACATCTGTTCTACTGCCTGGTGTTCCCATGGATTAAATACTCTAAAATCAGGGTATGACATCACAGATTTTTCTCAATGAAACAAACTAGGATTTCATCTTCTCTTTCCTTGTTTTCACTTTAAAACATTGACAGAACAAGTGCCTCATGATCATTAGAACTTGAATGATGGAGGCAACATAAGCATTAATGGAAACCCCAGAAGTCTCGGTACTATTTGAAGGCATATATGCAGTCCATGTGACAAATACAAGCACTTGTCAACAGCAAAGCTACACCACTGTTAGACATATTCCAAAAGAATAATTCAATTGCCAGTTATCACATTGACATAACATACACAAAAGAATAATCTTCAACTCTGCAATGTAGAAAAATAAGTCATAAACAAGAATAATTCAATTTCCAGATCATCGATGGCGACCTAGCCTAACAACCCATTTGCCCTCTCCTCACAACGGCAGCCCCCACCGCCAACTTCGGCGATCTCCCCCTTAACGATGAAGAAATCGTCCAATCGGTTGTCGCCGGCGTAACCCCATCCTACATTCTCGAATCCAAGCTCAACGACACCCACCGAGCCGCAAAACTCCGGCGAGATTCTTTGAAGGTAATCACCGGACGGAGCATCGACGGGCTTCCCCTTGATGGGTTCGATTACGATTCGATCCTCGGCCAGTGCTGCGAGATGCCCGTTGGTTTTGTGCAGCTCCCAGTAGGGATTGCGGGCCCGCTGGTTCTCGATTCTATGATGTACTACGTGCCAATGGCGACGACGGAGGGGTGTCTCGTTGCGAGCACGAACAGGGGGTGCAAGGCGATCGCGGAGTCGGGAGGGGCGATGAGCGTTGTGTTGAGGGATGGGATGACGAGGGCGCCGGCGGTGAGGTTTGGGACGGCGAAGAGATCGGCGGAGCTGAAGTTTTTCTTGGAGGAGCCGGCGAATTTCGAGACGCTGGCGTTGATCTTTAACAGGTAGTTTGTCGATTGTGAGATCTCAGTTTGGTGTCTTGTGCTGTTTTGTTTGTGCCCATGATGTGTTTGCTGATTTTACTCTGTGACAATTTTCTGTCTCGTTATGGAAAAATTGGGTGCAAGATTTGATTTTTCTAGAAATTTACACCTGTTTGAGGAATCATTAACGTCGTTTTCATGTTCTTTTGTGGCATTTGTGCTATATATATATTATCATGTCTTACCGGTTAAGGATTAGAAAATTATCAATTTTTTTGAGAAAATAATAACGTCGCTTTCATGTTCCCTTTCAGAAAATATTTCTTCTTAATTCTTTTGTTGCAATTTTGAGAAAATTACACTCATCAGAGAAGATGGGGATGATAATCTGCCAATATTTTTCATTAGGTTGGCACATAGAGAATTATGAAAATTGGGTTCTTTTCTCTTGTCTTGCTGTTTGCAAGATATTTTTTTGCAGACACTTACCATCTTCTTCAGAAATAATGGTAACATTTATCATGCTATATCTAGGCAAACATTTTTATTCTTAATTCTTGTTATGCAATTTTTTTGTTGCAAATTTGAGGAACTGTTCACGCATAAAAAAAGATCAAGATGATAATTGCATATATTTCTCATGGTTTACAGGTCTAGCAGATTTGCACGACTCCAAGGGATTCAATGCTCGCTTGCAGGTAGGAATCTCTACATGAGATTCAGTTGTAGCACCGGCGATGCAATGGGGATGAACATGGTGTCAAAGGGTGTGCAGAATGTCTTGGACTACCTCCAAAGTGATTTCCCCGATATGGAAGTCGTCAGCATCTCTGGTTCGCATACCTTATGAAACGATTATGTAGAATATCTTTTTATAATTTAAGCTTTTCCTCGTTTACTCTGCTGATAATTTTAGTACATCCTTGATTATGGCTTTTAATGATTAGTTCTGATGGTTGCATGATAGATCTGAATATTATGTTGGTGCGCATTCCTTTCACCACTTTTCCACTTTGAATCATAATCAACAGGCAAATTATTCTTTTTTTAATTGGGAGAATATAGTATTCTTGCTTTTCTTCATGTCATTTCTTTCCCTTTTCTGGTGGTCCTCAATGTTAACTCTTGAAGATAAATGATATGATAGGTAATAATAGAGTGGTCCTTCGACTTATGTTGAGGTTCTGTGAGTTAATAGAAGAAAGGGATGCATTAATGAAGATTGAGTTACACATTTATTTATTTTTATTTTTTCTGTTCTTATTCGTCAATTTTTTTTCCTTTCTCATTGGTTGGACTCAAACTCATTTAATTAATTTTCACTACAGGAAATTTCTGCTCAGACAAGAAGCCAGCTGCTGTGAATTGGATCGAAGGAAGAGGGAAATCAGTTGTATGTGAGGCCATAATCAAGGAAGAGGTGGTTAAGAAAGTTCTAAAGACAAATGTACAAGCTTTAGTTGAGCTCAATACAGTAAAGAACCTTGCGGGTTCAGCTATCGCTGGAGCTCTCGGTGGCTTCAATGCTCATGCTAGCAACATTGTGACTGCTGTTTTCATTGCCACCGGTCAGGATCCTGCACAAAATGTTGAGAGCTCTCACTGCATCACCATGATGGAGGCTGTTAACGATGGCAAGGACCTTCATGTCTCAGTTACGATGCCATCCATTGAGGTAATATATCAGATGTTAGATTGAATTTGTTAGTGTCATGTCTAGAACTGTATTTACTTAATTAATTTTGATGACTATGTCTTGTGCTGCCTTATCCTAAAAAGCTTAGGTCCACCATTTGTCGGCAAAACATTAAAGGGAAGAGCAACTTGAACTTGGAAGTACAGCTGTTCTTTAAAAATATACATGGGTCAATGGAATTACCTAAAGCATTGGATCACATACTGTGTGCTTCCAGTAAGTAGTCTGAAAAGGACTTTTGGAATATATATGGGTCAATGGAATTACATAAAGCATTGGATCACATGCTGTGCTTTTACTATGTAGTCTGAAAAGGACCTTTGAAATATATATTTAAGGATAAATTATTAGAATACACTTGTGAATTATCATTTTTTGCCTGAAAATCGAACTTCTTTAATTTCTACAACCTATGATATATTGCTAGATTTATCTTTTGACATACTCTAATAATTTCTTAAACTTATGATATACACTGCTAGTTTTATCTTTTGGCCTGTCTTTGATATGTTGACATATACCTAGTCGTGGAGAAGTAATTGAGGTTATAAAGGTAGGGATGTTTTCGGGCATAGAGTATCAAACAGAAGGGTTTCTTTACAGATTAATGAGGTTATTTTCATAGTTTACCTTTTAAAAACAAAGTTTAATGGAATTTCTCTTTTGAAGAGGATGTTGTTTTAGACAGAGATTGCTTGAGTGCGTTTAAACACCACCTTAGTTGGGGAACTATATTTGCCGCACCAATTTCATCGTTTGTTCATTCATTACAAAAGATCAATTATCTCCTGCTTTCCTATTTTTTTTTTACTTCAGGTACTATGGGATTCTTATATTTTACCTTGAGAGAAATTTTTAGCCGGTGAGTTACTGATAGGACAGTTTTTGCTTTTATGATCTAGTGCTATTACATGGAGCAGTAACTGTTTCAGCTAAAAAAAATTGCTCTTTCTTGTTTTGTCCTCCATCTTTATTTGTGGATGGGGCTCAGGAGCATGACATAACTGAATCCTGGAAGCCTGCAGCACTTGCTGCGTGCTTGTTTAGCTATCAGGTAAGATGTCCCTTTAGCGTACAGGTGTTTGGTAGAGTTCTCTCGAAAAACCTACTACTACCTTCTCCTTGCTTCACACAAATCCAACTAATCCTCATCATACTTGGAGCTTGGAGCTTTTCCACATCACTTACAACTGTCTTTACTTTAAAAATCCTGTTGTCTATTCTTAATGTTGGGTGGGGCTGTGGTCATTATGTTTATTATCTTTTGCACCTCACTGCCACGCATATGCTTGAATAAGTTGTTATTGTTGTCATTAGTTGACCTAGATAACCTATAGAAGTATCGGGAGTGATAATTCCACTTCAAATTTGAAAGAAGAGATTTCAGGTAGAAAATCCGAACCATCAGATGTCATTTGAACCGTCTAAACTAGTTATAAACTGGAGTCTAGCAACTTTATCTTTTTTTTTGTTGACGTGTCAACTGATCAAATAATATGCATTTAAAAAATATATAAAAATAATGTATTTTATAGGCAGGTGATGAATGTTTGAAAAATATCGATTAGCTGAAATTTAGTGCAAATTGGCAACTGCCCATTAAACCAGTTTAGTACTGGACCCGGGGGAGGTCGTCCTGAACTACACTGTTCTATGGCCAAAATTTGAACTTAAGAAATCTGGTTATATTTTGGGCCAGTTTTTGTCAAACAGAATTTTAGCCCTTAATCTTGATGGTTAAACTAACCTGGGAGAGTTGCCAAACAAGCCCCTTCATTTTTCAGTAGTTATTCTCAATAGTTGAAGAAATGGAGATGACGTTCGATTTTGAATTTCGATTTGGAATCCATGCTTTAAAACCGAAACTAGAAATATGCCCACAAATTGGATTGTAGCCTATCTCACCCATTGTTATTAGTATATTTTAATTTTAATTTTTCTTCCTCTTTTATGTGTGAATATAGGTAGGGACAGTTGGAGGCGGGACCCAATTGGCATCACAGTCAGCATGTTTGGATCTACTTGGAGTAAAGGGTGCAAACCCAGAGTCTCCCGGTTCCAATGCCAGGCTTCTGGCCACGATAATAGCTGGTGCTGTTCTTGCTGGAGAGCTCTCTCTCATGTCTGCTCTTGCTGCCGGCCAGCTTGTTAAGAGCCACATGAAGTACAATAGATCCAACAGGGACATCGCCAAAGCTGCCTCCTAACTTTAAAGTCCTTTCTTTGTATAGATAATATCCCAAAAAAATAAAATAAGTTTCACCCAAATCTAACTTGGATCTGGGTTAGTTCACCATTTGCAGTTTCTTCTTAAATTAGTTGTGTTGTGTGCATGACCCTCCTCAGGAATTTATTGTATTTGCTAAGCCTTTTTCTGGTTCTTGGGGTCACCAGAAACTAATTTTTATGTAATTTGTTGTTGCTGTTGTTGTTTCCCCCCCTTTTTTCACCTATTTGGTGGATGTTTATTTGTAGTATGTTGAAGATTTGTTAATGACGTCATATTCTTTTTTTAGTGCTTTTATTTTGGGTACGTCATAGCGACTCGATTCTAAGTATCTGTTTTTTATGTGAGAATACTGGCAATGTGGTTGTCAGCATTCTTCACATATTTGGCTATTTTGTGTTCTGTGCTGGTGATAAAACTCTATTAGCATTGGCCTCCATATTTGCATGAGTTTGACTGCAAAATCAGAAAAGATATATATTTGCACACGCTCACCAACTACCCATCAAAGTTCTATTGGCATCTCTCTGATGTTACGGCAGATTTGAGCGTGTTTGGTAACTATTATTGGGGTTGTTTGGTTGGTGGATCTTTACCTCCAACAATTTTATTGCATGGAAGATGCATTTAAAAACTCATTTAAAAAATCTTGTTTTGTTGCAATGGATATTGAAGAAGAAGATTTGCACCAATAATAAAATCTCATCAATTTTTATTGGGTTGCACATCAATTTTATTAAGGATATATGGTTGAAACCAGAAATCGGATTGAAATTAGAGACATGCCACTTGATATTAGAGACATGCGTTCTATTGGCATGTCACAACTAGAATTTTAGTAGTGAGTCCTATTTTTCCGAGTGATTTGTGGATGGCATCTCCAAGGATTAAGATGCATGTAGATTTTTTAAGATAAACCATACGAGGTAAATTGAGATTTCCCAAACGAGGAAGAAAGAAGTTCCAAACTTGTTTAGCAAAATCACGGTTCAAAAAATATGGTCATGATTTTCTAGGGTGTGATCACATATAGGACAATGAGGATCCCCTGTCCATCCTTTTCTGCCAAGGTTATCTTTGGTATTCAGTTTATATTTTGATATGAGCCAGAAGAAAATTTTGACTTTGCTAGGCAAAAAATTATTCCATGAAAGAGAATGATATGGACTGAGGATGCCCCCATCGCTAAGGATATAGCACATTAATCTCACTGTATAGGCATTAGTCTTACCTAGAGTCCATGATACCCGATCAAAATCCAAGGTAGAGCTTAATTTGGAGGCGGAGAGCATGTGTTTGAGACCTGTACATGCTTAGAGTCTCCAATAGTTCTTTTGATAGTAGGAATCTAGAGCCAATTACCATCATAAAAGAACCTTTGAGAGGCAATAGATACTTGCTGGGTGAAGGCTAGCTTATAAGCTGAAGGAAAAAGACTAGCCAAAGAATTATCTCCAATCCATTTGTCCTCTCAAAATTTAATTCTCAAGTCGCTACCTAGATGCCACTTGACCACTTCTAATAAAGGTCGACAGATAGAACAGATGTCTTTCCAGAATTTAGAACAGTAGCTACTAGAGAGAGTGCTATTAGTCACAGAATGATAGATTGAGTGAAGAACCAATCCCACATAAGAATCAAGAGATAAAAATTTCCAAATCCATTTTGATAGAAGAGATGAGTTAAAGACCTCAAGATTAAGGACACATAGTCCCTCCCAGACAAGTTGTGTTCCAATTGACTAAAGCTTTGATGCCAGATGATTGATCACCCCCTCCCTAAAGAAAGTTTCATCTAATCTTATCCAATATCTTGATAAGCCATTTGGGAATTTTAAAGAAAGACATGTAGTAGAGAGGAAGAGAAGATAGAATAAAATTTAGAAGGACAATTCTCCCACCAAAAGATAAGCATTTGGTTTTCCACAATAATAATTTCCTATGGAAGGAGTCGATGAGAGGCTGCTAGTCTTACTTAGTAAAGGATCATTTTTCAGAGGGAGAACAAGATACTTGAAAGGGGAGGATAAAGAGCAATTCATAATTATAGCTAGGGAAGCACCTCGATCGAAATGTTTCCATGAGTAAGAAAGATTAGATTTGATATAGTTGATAGCAATACCTGAGACATCATTGAAGAGATAGAGGATAGACTCAAGAGTGGAGACATTTTGATGATCCGCTCTACAAAAGATCAGAGTATCATCAGCAAATTGTAGAGACCAGATATCATTTAATCTACGTTTAAGATGAAGCTCTGCTAAATCTCCAGAGTTGACACTACTAATCAGCATTCTATTAAGAATATCTGCAGCAAGGATGAAACACATAGGGGATAAAGGATCATCTTGCTTAAGACATCTATAGCAGTCAAAGGTATTAGTCAGGTAGTCGTTAACTATCACAGAAGATTTGGATAATGCAAGAATATGTTCAATCCATTTTGCACCATAGAGGACTAATACCTCTAGCCTACCTCTAGCCTTAAGGAGAGAAAGGATGAAGTTCCAACTAACACGGTCAAATGACTTCATGAAACCAATTTTAAGGATATAGGTTTCAATTTTCTTAGATAAGCAGTAGTGGATCATTTCATGACCGAGAACAATGGAGTCTAAAGATGATTGGCCTTCTTGGAAAGCAGATCGAGTGCTATCAACAAGAGATGAGAGCATGGACTTGAGTTTATTTGCTAGAACCTTAGTGAAAATTTTGAACAATCCATTCAACAAGCTGATAAGCCTAAAGTCCTTAGCACAAATTGCATTGTTAGATTTGCGAATAAGGACAAGGAAGGAGAAGTTGATTTTGTGAAGAGGGAAGACATCCGTATATAAGTGAGAAGAATTGAAAAATATCCTCTTGAATTATGTCCAAGAAAGATTGATAAGTGATGATAGAGAAACCATCCAGATCTAGAGATTTATTAGGATGAAGACCAAAGACTATAGTTTTAATCTCCTCCCTAGAAAAGGAAAAGTCAAGAGATTGGAGATCAGGAACCTGAGATGGATAAAGGTAATCCCAATCAAGTTGAAAGGAGGAAGGTTGTTTAGCTTTGAAGAGATCGGAGAATAAATCGAAGAAAACCTTTTGTTTCAAATATTCAAAGGATATAAGATCACCATTATGGTGTAGAAAAGGAATGAAGTTTGATCTTCTGTGTTGGGAAGTAACTTTCTGAAAGAAAGAAAAGTTAGAGTCTCACTCCTTAAGCCAAAGAATTCTAGATCTTTGTCTCCAGTACACTTTCTCATCTCTAACTGAGGAGAGGGACTCTCGAAGTGTGAGCCTGAGCTAGTCTGAGAGAGTTGTAAATTCCTCAAGGATAGAAAGGTGTTCTAGCCTCTCTAAAGTTCCTCTCTTGGACTTAGAGATGGAGCCAAAAATATATTTCTTCCACCATTTGATTCTTTTCTTCATGAATTTAAGTTTTTGGTGTAGGAAGTCAACGGGGTTACCACAATAGAGAAGAGAGAACCATGATTAGGTCAATGGCTAGAAAGAGGCGTGAGAAAACCATGTTTTATCTAATTTGAAGATGGGCCTTGGTAATGGATAGAAGGTGTTTAGAAGGATGAAAGAATGATCAGAGCAAGAGGAAGGGAAGGAGAATTGAACAAAGGAGGGAAATTTAGATTCAAAGTCAGAGAAAATCAAAGATCATTGAGACGTGATATGATTGGAGAGGCTCTCATGTTAGACTAAGTAAACCTTCTTCCATTGAGAGGGAAATCCATGAGAAAAAAGAAATTGCTAAAAGATTTAAAGAGATTCATGTCTCTACTAGAACCTGTTCTACCACTTCTTTGACTAGCATGTAAAGTGACATTAAAATCTCCAAAAAGAGATCATTGCAATGGATCATTAAACTAACTCTCTTTAATTGTCATCAGCAAACTTCCTTCTCCTCTTTATCAATAGGAGCATAAACAGTAATGATTAGGAATTTCCAATTGAGGTATTTATGATATATAATAGTAGAGATAGAAAATATCCTGATATATGAATCAATGCAATCAAGGAAGGAATCATTCCATCCTAATAGCACTCCACTCCTAGAGTCACTAGCATCTAATTTAAGCCAAGAATTTATTCTATTCCCACCAAGACTTTTAAGAGATAGAGATCTAATTGCGTTAAGTTTTGACTCTTGAATACCTATAATATCAATATTATAGAACATAATACCATATTTCACCAACCTTCTCTTAATTGGATCATTGAGGCCTCTAAGATTCCATGAACCTGCCTTCATAAAAAAAGGTTGAAAACAACACACAACCAGGTCGAGAAGCAGTGAGCTAATATTTTCCTACTATTTGCTCAGTCTTCATGGCCTTAAGACGAGCCATACCATCTGAGAGAATAGGTTCCTTTGCACCACAGTTAGACAAAATGTTGGCTAATTTATTATCATGCTTTACATTCAAAAGAAAGGGTACTGAAGTAGAAGATGTGGACTTTCCCATTTGGAAGAAGAAAGGAGCGACTTGGAGGCTGCTAGATAGCGTAGATAAGCTTTATGTCTTAGTGATCTACCAACCAGCTTGGCCTTTCCAACTAGCTTCTTCATTCTACCCGCAGCTAGATGCTCAAATACTGGGAGAACCGAAGTTGATAGATCCTTCCTTGGGGGCTATCAGAGATTCAGAAGTAAAGTCGGCATTGGAGTCAGCAACAAGTAGGGGAGGATTATGCAGCACGTTTGATGCACCCACACCTTGAATGGTTAAGAAAGTTGTTCATATGTCCTCTCTACCATCACATTGTCGCCTTTTCAGACAACCTCAAGTAGATCGGGCTCTATCATAATGATACCCACAGTTTGGGGCATCAAGTTGATACAGGATCTCGTGGAATCCTCCCCTGCACCATCCGATTCCTTAACAGCCTCCTAAAAACCTGCCTTTTTTTGAATTTAAAAGAGAAATGACTAAATTACCTTTCCTTTTCAAAATTTCTGTCGCCGAGGTGGGAGCCTTCGAGGATGGTCGCCTCTAGTTGATCTCCTCTTTCTATCCACCCAGCCTGATTCTGTATATGTATTACCCTCCTATTTAGATTGGTGCTCTTGCACCTCTAGCTTTTCGAAAGCACTCTATGATATAGTTTACCAATGACTTGGATAATGGTAGATCCTTCCATAAGGTTGCCGTCGATCGGAGAAACATATTAGAATTTGATCTCCTTGGGTATGTCGGATAGGTCCCTGACTTTGACAAGGATCTTGAAGTCACTAAAGTTTGCATAGAAGGCAATGTCATTTGAGCTCGTGATACACTCCCCTACACCCTTCAGAACGTTTTGGAGAAATTCTCAGTCCCAGAGGTGATAAGGTAGTCTATAGAGCCAAATCCATGTCAGGAAAGATTTAGGGAGGACCTTGAAACTGAGATCCTCATGCCAATGTCAGAAGCAACCTCAAAAGGATCTCATATCGATGATCTTCATATCTTCAGGTTGCTCAAGAAGGTCATCATTAGAGAATTGGACCATAAATTTGGTACTTGCAGCTTTCGCGATCTTGAAAGACTAGTCCTTCAGGTTGAAACGATATGCTAGCATCTCTCGGAGCTCAGAGAGAGATGGGGTACCAACAGAAAGGTATGGGATATTAACAGAACGGTAGAAGATGGAAAATGATCCCAGTTTTTTATAACACTTAGGGTTTCTGGAGGAAGATTGATAATTAGAGGTGGAGCAAGAAACCTTGCTGCAGAGCGGCAATCTCGAGAGGTGTGGTCTTTACCATGGCATCTAAAACAAATAAAGTCATCTTCAGGGTAGTCTCTAGCCATATGATTTAGCTTGTGGCAAAAAAAAAAAACCGATTCTTTAGTGAAGGAGAAAGAAAAGCAAGTCTCCATTGGAAGAAAAATGGTTTCTTCTTTTATAAGAGGCCTTAGAGCAGCATTCTCCAAGATCCGGATCTGAACAAGGATGAGGAAGAGGAAGAATGCCTTTTTGGGAAGACGGAGGGATAAGAGAATGAGGGTGGCGGTTCTCCTAAGGGAAAAGACATGAAAAGGGTTTTGGAAACTAGTGGAGTCGAATTAGCTGCACACGTTGGCAACGCGCGATCACTGATTAGAGAAGACGGAAGTATTATCGTTGATGGGACGTGGAGGGGCGGTTACAAGCCTCCATCACTTATCTTCATATAACTCTAAAAATCGCCCACCTTCCATCCCCTCCTTACTTTTTGCCCAGCTATTAGATGACAATACATATTTAATGTAAGCTTACATTAGCTATATCTCAAAAAATAGAAGATGAGTTACGACATTGGAGCATCTTTTTTAGATTTCATTAATATATATATTTCTTGAGCAGATAATCTTTCAGATTTCATTCATAAACTATTGCTTGAGAAGATATTTATTCGAATTTCTTCATTATAGGAAAAATTCATCTTCCTACTGTCATTTTTTTTGTTCACTAGTTCTTGTGCACATGCATTGCACGTGGTTAAATATTAAAATTATTTTTTTAAAATTTTTTTACTATAAAATAAGTCGGATTCATTTTGGGTTAAAATCCATAAACATGGATTATTACATTTACTATAAGTTTTATTTAAACATTTTTTAAAAAAATTATGAAATAGACGATTAATTTTGAAAATTTCTTGGGGTTAGGAATAAACAACTAATAAGTTTGCAGAGAAAAATAGGGGAACGTAGTACATTCTTAAGAATTATTAATCTTTACTTAGTTTTTTTATAATGATAGGATCTCATCATTAATTAAATACAATGCTTAGTGCCTTATTTTTTTTGGACGTTCAAGGCAGGTAGATGACCCATTGCAATGAATGATATACAAGTTAAGTACAATGGAAAAAGGAGAGTTAATCAATAGTGTAGTTGGTGAGGGGAGCAGTTTAATTTAGTATGTGGATATATAATAGATGGAGATGCAAAAGGGTGGTTTTGAAAATAGTGGGTGCGTTGTGGGTAATTAATATGGTTTTTATTTGTGTGGTTTTCTTCATTCATTTTTAATATATCTGTGGTCCTGTGGATATATATAGCTATAGCATTGCTACTCTATTTTGGTTTTGAGAAATAGTTTAGGTGTTAAAAAATTAAATTATCTAAGCCCATATATGAAATTTATTTTAACCAACACCCATGTGTAAATATTACAATTGCCATTGAGATCTAAGGTATGTGTGAGATTCTCTTTGATTTTTATACAAATAGTATCTATTTATATATTAATAGTATAATTAAACTTTATGATCTGAAAAAGAGATCAAACATACAATATAAGTAATTGCTTTAAAATAATCTAATCTAGCCTAATAAGAAGAAAATAGATGAAAATAATGTTAAAATTATTATAATTTCATAATTCATAATTTTTAAACAATCTAATCTAATCTAATAAGAAGAAAATAGCAAAGACACATACTTGTTGAAGGAGATGAAAATGCTATGAATATATGTAATTTCTGATCTAAAAAAAGATCAAACATACAATATAATTAATTGCTTAAAAATAATCTAATCTAATCTAATAAGAAAAAAATAGATGAAAGTGCTGTGAAAATTGTTGATATTTCTTAATATGAAAAAAGAACAAATATACAATATAATTAATTACTTTAAAATAATCTAATCTAACCTAATAAGAAGAAAATAACAAATGCATATACATGTAAAATGAG